GTCTCGCCGCGCCTCCCCCATCCCCTTTTTTTTTGTTCCCGAATCGCTTTCGATTAATTCGCGCTTTAAATCTCTTGGCCGAGTAACGGAGAGCGAACTGGCCCGGCCGCGGATTCGCAACGAGCCGCATCATTGCGCACGCCGCGCCGCCCTGCAACCGCCTGTTGGCTCCAATAACACCCGCGCGCGCTTTTTATGGCAGTATCGAAGCCGGCACGGCCGAGCGCGGCGCCACAGGGACAGGGGAAAAACCTACCGGGAAGGTGTTCCTCCCCGCTCTCTTTCTCCCTTTATTCATTCCAATCAGCGACAAGTTACGCCAGCCGGAGCCGCACCCTGTCGTCGGGGCGGGCCAATCAGAGAGCAGCGCCGTTTACGCGGTAAAGATGAAAGGCCCCGCAAGCGCGCCGCGGCTAGGAGCGCAGAGCCACGAGGAAAGACTCACGGCGCGTTACGTAAATCGTGGACGTGTTTGTTTTCAGCGTCACGAGGCTGGTCCGAGGCGTTTCCCAGTCTGTTGCCCGGCCAGCGTACAGTACGCGTCGCGTGAGCCGGCCAGCCCGGCCAACTTGACCGCCAGCCCGGCCAGCCCGGCCAGCCCAAGCAGTAATGTGGGAGTATCGCCGGCTGCACAAAAAGAGCGCCCGAACGAGGGTTATTGCCGGGGATGTAATTGCAGCCCCATTCCTGCCCAGAAAGGCGCCGGGACACGACGTCTTCACCCTCGAATTAACAACAAGGGAATAATCAGCTGCTTAAGAGCTCGCTGTGGTCGATTAAAAGGGGACGGATAAAAATCGTGCGGTGGCCTTAGTAAAAGTATTGAGAAAATAAGTAGTGACCAAATAATCCTGCCTTATGGCTCTAAGCAAAACAATGAAAGAATGAAATAGCTCGGCTCTGACATGAGTCAGAGTAACTATTTCAGGGTACAGCATTTTCGTTTTTACTGCCAATAAGGCGCTACTACGAAACTCGTCCGCCAAACCGCAGCACTATTTGCAGTCATGGCCGGTCTAAGAAACGCCCAGGCAGCGTCACCTCGCAACGGAACGATGGTTCCGATGGCGTTCGGTCGTACAGTCCCCACTTCCGGAGGCCAGGTCCGCCCAGCGGCAGACTCATTCAGCTCGCCGCGTTCGCCGCTCTGTCTCTCTCGCACCTACGGGGGACGCCCCACGAGTGCGAGAGAGACGACTCCGAAGGGCCCGGCCCAGGGCGTGAGCGGCGCGGCCGCGTCTCGTCGGCAGGAATTCGCTTAAAGAGAGTGCCCTTGACGTGCATATGCACGTTCGTTCGGCACGCGTGTACAAACACGTCCAAAACCAAACGCCAGACTGCACACAGCCAGCGGCGCAGCCGAGGCGCAGCACAGTGCCCTCTTCTGTCCCAAAGCTTTCCCCAGCTTCCAAATCCGTTCCGTTTTCATTTTCGTCCGTGTGCGGATCCGCCGGCTGGGTTTCGTGTCATCCTAAAATGTGTGGCCGGCAGCCTCGTAACCCTTTTCGCTTAATAAAGTGCTCACGCCCAGCTGTCGGGCCCTCATGAAGGGTGTGACGTCAGGCCTTTAATCATGAGGTCAGGCCATCTCTGTCACACTTACTGGACGGCCGGGCGGCTCCAGACCCGCAGGCAGACGGACGGCCAGCATCAGGTCATCGGCCGCGCGCAGTATCGCCTTCCTGCCTGTGTGTGGTACACTGCGTGCCGAGATCGAAAATCAATTGACTTTTTGCTAATGCCCGCTTGGGACGGCGACGACGGTCCCATAACTCGAGGGATCCTCAAACTGGGCTGCACTTGTCTCTCTCACTTAGGCCGAGTGGACAGCGGCGCGGCGGCGCACAGTGGGCCAGACGCTCGGCGCAGGCGGCTGAAAACTCTTGGCGCGTTTTCAGCTCCAGAGTCGCCAACGAGGGGGCAAAAACTCGCGCAATCATGTGTACACGGCCTCCGAAATCACACGCGAATCATTGAGAATCACGCGAAATCAAGCAATCCGAAATCAGCCAAAATCACTAAAATCTACCGAAATTAGGCAGAATCACACGAAACCAGGCCAAATCAGTCCGAAATCATTTCTTTCCGAACACAATCACACGCAATCACGCCCTCACCCTGGGGGCGCGTCGTGAAAAAAGGCAAATCAGCCAGGGAAATCAATTAAAAACTGCGCTCATTGCTCTTTTCCAAAGTCATGCGAGCGGCGAAAACGCCCGAGGCTTTTGCCCCCTCGGTCGCCAAACAGGGCTCGAACCGAACAAGTGACCCCACCAATGGACTGATCTCCGAACGAGGAATCCATTGATGGGGTCACACGTTTAGTTCGAGTCCCATTTAGCGACTCTGGAGCTCAAAACGCGTCAAGAGTTTTGTCCGCCTGCGCCGGTCTTCTGGCCCACTGTGCGGCGCGGCGGCCGGCCGACGTGATGAAGCAGTCCGAGCACGGCAGCCACGGGACCGCGCGTGGTGCTGGCGGCGCGCGAACAGAAAGCATTCAATCCTTCCAGCGTCGTAATGAAGCGAGCCTGCCCCTGAGGATGATGTTCGCGGCAAACACGCCGGCCGATCTATCAAGACGATCAGAGTGATACATCCATCGGGCCGACAAAGTGGCTGTTCGGGATCCAGACAGGCGGGAAAAACAGCGAGGCTGTGCCGCACGCGTTACACGCGTTCCCGGGGTCCGTTCCGTTCGTAGGGCCTCCCGGCGGGGGGCACTTCAAAAGCACATTACGCGCCACTACAAGGACATGCCGAGTCAAGGCGCCTGACCCTCGTCATCAATGAAGACAACACTCGAGTACCTCCAAACTGGTTGGCCGACTCTCCATCCATCGGCACTCGACAGTGGGGGAGTCCTTCGTTCACAGAGGCGGGCCCTTTCATCCTTTCGTTTATTTTATTTTCCGTGGCGAGTTTAAGGACAAGAACCGATGACACGTAAACTCCGCCCTTGCTGACGGTGTGTCCCCGTCGGTCCCCGAGCTGCCTAGGGCTGCCCGAGTCAACCACGTCAACGACCCATCCACGCTGCGCGGGCGGGGCCTTCCAGTCGAAAGTGAACCTTCGCTGAGGCGACGCGACGCGACGTCGCCCCACCGGGAGCTGCCCCGAAGCCCTGCGGCCCTGCGGACTGTGCACCGCCTTCTCGGGGCCCTTCTTCTTGGAGGGCCGCCAATCCAATCGCTCGGCCGACACATACACATGGTGGCGTGGCTGGTGGCGGTGGCGCCCGGCGTGATGGTCTTCCATTCGCGATAAGGCGCGTCAGGTCCTCGCGGCGCCCATCTCCGGCACCACCGTCACCACCACCATCATCACAGTGGGCCAAAAGGCCGGCGCGGGCGGCCGAAACTCTAGGCACGTTTTGAGCGGCGGAGCCGCTAAAAGGTCCTCGAACCGCTCGTGTGACCCCACCAATGGATTCCTCGTTCCGAGAGCAATCCATTGGTGGGGTCACACGTTCTGTTCGAGTTCTGTTTAGCGACTCTGGAGCTCAAAACGCGCCCGGGATTCTGACCGCCTCCACCGGTGGTCCACTGCTCCTGGTATCGCCCCGGAGTCCCCCAGCAGAGGCCCGAAGTGATTAAGCGCCTCATTGCCAAGGAAATCAGAGGCGGGAAATGAAATGCCCACCTCCTCCTGCCTCCCATTTTTTCCAATTTTTTCGCTGTGTTCGCCAGCGCCGGCAGCGCAGCAGGGAGCTTGTTGGGGTCAGGTCCTGATTTCTGGTGGGTGGGATTATTTTTGTGATGACGTGGCGGGGATTTTCCGGGGAGGGTCCGCTTCATCGACGAAACGGAACGGAAGAAATCATTTGGGGGAAAGGGACTCGGCGTCGTCCCATAATTGGGTCATCACTCGGGGCAAGAAAGTTGAAGCGATGCTTTTCGGTCCCACGAACGTCAAACTGCAAACTCTTGACGGCAGTGTCACCGGCCTATCGCCCGGTGCACCGTCTCTCTCTCTCTCTCTCTCTCTCTCTCTCTCTCTCTCTCTCTCTCTCTCTCTCTCTCTCTCTCTCTCTCTCTCTCTCTCTCTCTCTCTCTCTCCACTCAAACTACTGGCGTCGTCGGTTCGCCGCACGTTCGTCCAAGGTGGCCGGGCCGACCTGTCCCAGGGCCGGCAGACGCGGTTACTTACAGTAATCACCATTCGGTCTTGCCTCCCACCGCAGCCCAAACAACAACAACAACACCGCCGACACTGTCGTTGTTGTCGCTGCGTTTTCCGCGATCCTTCCCCAACATGGAGGCAGCGATGGCCGCGCCATTCGGAATGAGTGTGAGTGACGGACTCGCTCTGGGACCTAATAACGCAGTTATTTTGTGCCGGTCCTTTTTTTTCGGCACTTTTTATTCCGCTCTCTCTGTTTTTTTTTTTTTTTTTTTTTTTTTGGTGGAAACGAAATAATGACGTGCAGCTTGCATGATCACGTAGCCCGGCGTTTCCGCTCCCCGCGTTTTCAAAGGGAATCGGTTTTACTGCAAGGGGGAAAAGTGTGTGGGAAAGGGGGGGGGGGGGTCCAACGCCGTCACGACAGCGAGGGCTGTCCGGCTGCTCACGTGACAGGGGGCAATTTGCGGCCGATTGACACCCCAAAGGCCTCAACCGCAAGAATTGGCGCGACAATTCTTTCCTCCTCAGTGTGCGACACCGCGACACCGCTCGTCCGCTATTTTCCATTTCTCCGCCACGTCCGCAATAAAAATAGACTCTCCGATTATCGCAACAAAAGTGAATCGATGCCTCGGTGGCCGCGGTGGCCGCTCCACTGAGGAAAGGCACGTAAGACCAGACCGCTCACCACCCATCAGTCACGCAGGACATACACATTACACAACGCAGCGGCACACACTCCATACAGCCTCGCCAGGCACAGCACGCACTCGCGACGTGACAACTAGGATCCCATATGTAAATGTCACAAGTATTCCGACACAGCTCCGCGATTGGAAGTCTGTTCCCCGCGTTTTTTGCCGCAGTCGGTCTTGTACCTTGAGTGAGATCCCGGGACGAAGCAGGAGGAAGTCCAGGTTCTTGAGGTTATCCTTGCACGGGTTTTCACTTCACTCACAACACAGACACAAACACTTGGCGCCCCTGCGGGGCCTCCGGGTGCTTCCCTGGGCGTGCCCAAGGCGGTGCCCACGAAGAAGGTGCTGGTGTCCTCGGGGCGGAAAAAGCGCGCCAAAAAAAACCGGGGCTCGCGCCGCCGCCGGCTTGACGGCTAGCCCGGCTCGGCGGGCTGGTGGGCGGGCGGCTCGGCTCGAATCGGCTGCGCGGGGATGGGGATGGGGCTCGCTGGCACAAACGCCGGTCGCTCGGCTCGGCTCGGGACTCGGCTCGGCTGGACTCGGCTCGGCTCGACTCGGCTCGCGGAACGCGGGACGCGGCTCACTGCTCGGAGTGGCGTTGCGGCGCGTTGCGGGCGGTGCGCGGTGCGGCACAGGACGGGCCAGCGGGGCGACACAGCCTGAGCCTGGCAGTCCTGGCACCGCACAGCCTGGCCTGGCAGCCTGGCACAGGCAGGGGCCGCCGACGGTGGCGCCCCTCGCGGCCGGCCGCGCAAGCGGGGCCCCCACCCTCGACGCCGCCCAGCAGCCAGGCAGCCGCCAGGCCTTCCCTGGCACCCAGCGCGCCGCCCCGCGCCCTGCGCCCTGCTGCAGGGGATGCGGTCCAGGCGGGCCGGGCCGGCCGCGACAGGCAATAGGCAACCGAGGCAGTCCGCCCGCCCGCCACAGCCTGGGCGGGCAGCAACAGCATTCGGCCTGCAAACATTGGGAGCTCCATCCTGCAATACACGGCACTCAGCCAGCGGGGACCACGGGGTAACTCAAGATTTTCGTGTACACTGACTATATTTAGAGCATGATTACATGTGATTTTTTTCGATTATTATATTATTTTGAATGTCACTGACTATAGATTATGATTACGTCGGTTATTGGGGAATATTGGGGGTCATATGAGCGCTGACCTCGGAAAGCTGTCAAAGTGTCGGAAATCAAATTTTGCTGACTTTGGGCGGCCACTGCATCCAATTTAGTTGCGGTCAAAGGCCTCCCTCAACGCCCTTAGTATTCTTAAGACCCTATTCTTTTATGCCCCGAGTCGGGAAGGCTTTGACCGCTGATAGTTTGGGAGCAGTGGCCTCGCAAAATGGTCAAAAAGTGAATGAATATCTCAAACTAGCCGTTTTTGCTGACTTTGGGCGGCTACTGCGCCCAATTTAGTTGCGGTCAAAGGCCTTCCTCAACGCCCTAGTATTCTTAAGACCCCACTCTTTCATGCCCCGACTCGGGAAGGCTTTGACCGCTGATAGTTTGGGAGCAGTGGCCTCGCAAAATGGTCAAAAAGTGAATGAATATCTCAAACTAGCCGTTTTTGCTGACTTTGGGCGGCTACTGCGTCCAATTTAGTTGCGGTCAAAGGCCTTCCTCAACGCCCCAGTATTCTTAAGACCCCACTCTTTCATGCCCCGACTCGGGAAGGCTTTGACCGCTGATAGTTTGGGAGCAGTGGCCTCGCAAAATGGTCAAAAAGTGAATGAATCTCTCAAACTAGCCGTTTTTGCTGACTTTGGGCGGCTACTGCGTCCAATTTAGTAGCGGTCAAAGGCCTCCCTCAACGCCCTAGTATTCTTAAGACCCCACTCTTTCATGCCCCGACTCGGGAAGGCTTTGACCGCTGATAGTTTGGGAGCAGTGGTCTCGCAAAATGGTCGAAAGTTGTTGAATCCCCGAAAGTATGATTGTGGTTTAATCGAATGATGTTGATATCCCTTGTGGTAGGCCATCCCGCCACACACACTTCAGCCTGCGAACTCTGGGGTAGGCCATCCCGCCACACCGCTCCAGCAGTGCTCTTCGGCGGCGATGGCACTCGCGGCCTGATTGCGCCAGGCCGCGACGGAGTACCGAGTACTCGGCTGTCACGGTGAAATGAAGCGCACCTGGCGGCCGGTCGACGGGCCGAAGGCTCACCTTCCGTCGCTCCGAGGGGAGGGGAGCTCCCTAATGTCCTTTTCAACGGGATTATTCTTCGCAAAGAGGGGCTGCCTGCTCGCCCTTCCCCGCCCCGCTCAGACGGCTCGCCAGCGCATCCGAAGAACCGCCATCTCTCTCGCACCCAGCGCCCCACACGAGTGCGACGGAGACGGAGTGCCACGCTTCCTCGCCAGGTGCCTCCGGGCCGCTCCGGGCCGCTCCGGGCCCTCAGAGGCGGCGGTGCGGCGGGGCCGCGTTGCTCCAGATGGCCCGACGCCTCCCGGGATCGATATCGAATTAATGAGCGCCGCGAAAAGCTGCGCGCGCGAGTCGGTGCACGGGTCGCCGCCGCCGGCCGCGGCTGCTGCTGCATAATTAACGCGAGAATCAGGTGAATTAGCCGGAAGTCGGGGCTGCGGGCGCGCGGCGTGGCGGCGGCGTGGCGGCGGCGTGGCCGCTGTCGGCGACCGTGTCCCCGCGCGGCCGGTGCGGCCAACGGGACCGTTTTGAAGCTTATTTCCACCCCGGCGCCGCCCTGCGCGGTGAAGCGACCAGGCACGCCCCAAGCTCATCATTCGCAGCCACCCGTCGGCCGCGAGTGACGCGCACCGCCCCCATCCATCCACGACAAACGACGCCTTCTTTCACGTAAATCAGGCGGCCAGTGAACCTGCCCCGCCCCGCCCCGCCCCGCCCCGCCTCGCCGCACTCCGGAGCGGCGGCCGCGGGGCGCGCAGCAGCCCGGTATCATGCGAGGCAGGATACCGACGGCACTGCCGGGGAACCCGGGGTGCTCTGCCTCCTCTCCTCCATCGCCGTCTGACACGCTCGCCCCTTAATGGCGCTATTTGAGCTGACCGGCGGGCCCGGGGCGGTCCGAGGCGGCTGGGCCGGCCCACGGCGAGCGCCAGCGGGCGGCCAGCGCCGGCCAGCGCCCCAGGCCGTCAAGCAGCACGCCGTCCAAGACAAACCGAGGCGATCAGCACCACTCGGGCAGCGGCAGCAGCGGCAGCAGCGGCAAGGACCATTCATGCTCATGGATGATGGTCTCGAGGAGCAGCAGCGGGAGGGCTCTGCGGAGGAGGCGATCAGAGGGGTTCACCTAGAAAGAGGGAGAAGAAGAAGAAGAAGAAGAAGAAGAAGAAGAAGAAGAAGAAGAAGAAGAAGAAGAAGAAGAAGAAGAAGAAGAAGAAGAAGAAGAGAAAAGAAAAGAAAAGAAAAGGAAAATAGAGATTGCGCTACACGAATACACGGAAAATGGAGCGAATGCACGAACAAGTGTGTGAGCGACTTTCAACACGTTTCCTTCCCTTCCGTCCCGGGGCGGCCCGACACGCGTTTATCGTTATTTATCGCGAGAGGCTGCCGGTGACGTCGTCAGCCATGCCTACAGTAGTTCGCATCATTCACACCCCCCGACCAGCACCTGTGAATAATGCGTCGTTTGGTAGCGGGCGGCAGTGTGGGTGGGTGTGTAAGAGTGTGCTTGTGTGGGCGTGTGTCTGTCTGTCTGTCTGTCTGTCTGTGTGTCTGTCTGTCTTTCTGGGAATAACGGGTGGTTGCAGCGGCAACGCGACCAGCTCGGCACTTCGACGCTTCGGCAAAGGCAGCGGCGTGGGGCGTGGGCCATGTAAGGAACGGCAGCCCACGGCAGGCATTGTCGCGGGGGCCCTGCTGTGCCCGCTGCAAGCGAAACGCGCTGCTTTTTGTGTTGTGAGTCTTCCTAACAAGGGCGCCCCTCTCGTCCATGAGGCCGTGGGCAGAGGCCACGGGCCGCCGCGCCACCCCACCGCGCCTCGCCGCGCCTCGCCGCGCAACATAGTAAAAGTTTGTCGGTGCATTGGGGTGGGGCGGGTGCTCAGGGGTTCCACTTGACGGGCCCTGCACACCCACCCCACCCCGCCCACCAGCAGCCCCCGGCCTGCATGGTCCGACACAGCTGACCTAAGAAGAGATGAGGAAGATAGGCCGTGCCCCGGTGAGCCTTGGGAGCCTTGGGCCACCGGGCCGGGCCACGGCCGCCCAGCCCAACCTGCAGGCAGGCAGTCTCGAGGCCCCGAGGCAGCCCCAATCGATTCCATCCCTTCCATCTCATGACAAATGTGTACAGGCAGACCAGAACGCAATCGTGTCTTGCTGCGGCTCTCTTGAAAGATATTCCTGCATTTTCGGTATACCTGCGTCGCAGAACCCACCCCCTTTTGATTCAGACTGTGTTCAGGGGCACTCGAGCGCGACCGGCGGCCCGTGGGCTTTTCAACGAGTGCGAGAGAGACAGAAGACGTTACGTGTTTCTGGATGACTCCGTGTGGCTGAGAGAGACGGAGCAAAAGGCGACGACGCTGTCCGTCTAATCGCGTGCCGCGACGCCCGCTCCTCCTACTTCTCGCACTTCTCGTCGGCAGTAACAACTCGGCGGCGAAAGCAAGCGCCATCCCTCTCCGCCTTTATCGCTGCGAGGACCGCCAGGTCCACCAGGACCGCCAGTACGTGTCTCAAACTTTTATCGAACTGCGACAACAGCGCCGCGGTGCACGGCCCTTCATGCGCCATCAACCCGCCGGCCCCGCCTCGCACAGTAGATTTGCCAGAAGACCGGTGGGGGCGGTCAAAATCCCGGACGCCTTTTTACAGAGTCACTAAATGAGACTGGAACGTGTGACCTAGGGATTCAAAGCCTAAAAAATTTACCGGAAAGAAACGGTAATTTACCGGTAATTTACGGTAATTTACCCCGAGCGTTTTCGCGTGTTCGTTTTCGCGTTTTCGTTTTCTTTTTCGCGTTTTCTTTTTTCGCGTATTCTTTTTTCGCGTTTCCGTTTTCTTTTTCGCGTTTCCGTTTTTGCGTTTTCGTTTTTGTTTTCGCGTTTCCGTTTCCGGGAACCTAACCTAACCTTGCCGTCCGTTTTGGCGGTAAATTTGAAACGTGAACCTCATGAGGCTCGGTGGGCGAGTAGGCGAGATTGTGAGTTTGTGCAAGTGCAGGCTGCAGCGGCCGCGCAGCACGCGCAGCAGGTGCAAGCTCATTAGTGAAAGTGGTACACCGCGTGGAGTAGAGTGAGAGAGGGGATGGGGGGTGCAGCCGCCGCTCGCGCTGCCTCGCGGATTTTGAGCAGCAAGCCGCCCCTCTACTCCGGTTTGCAGAGCACGGCGAGGTGTTCCTTCAACTTCCCACGGGTCTCATTCTCGGCAGAAAAGCCGCGGAGCGGGGACACACCGCGATGCCACTCGACTACATCATTCCCAAGGAGCATGTGCAAA